ATATGGACAAAGGAGTCATTTCAACTTTTAAAGCCTATCATTTCAGATGTACTTTCAGACAGGTTATTGAGGCCACAATAGGAGATCATGCAATTTCTTTAGCTGAGCTTTGGAAGAAATATGACATGAAACCTGCAACTAAAAACATTTAAGCATCATGGCACAAAGTAACAGCAAGCAATATGCATGCAGGATGGCAGAAACTTTTACTGCACTGGAAAATAATTTTTTAGGATTTGAATCAAATGTAGATGGAATTATAAAAGAAATAGTTGACCAAGTAGATATGGGCACTGGAGTTATTTAACAAACCTTAGGTATACCATCCAAGGAACTTAGTGAAGGTTAATTTATTGATGCAAGAGAAGAAAGTGATTATGACAAAAAGGATGACGATATCTCAGAGGAAGTGATGCTAGCAACAAAATTTCACCTCAGTGGAATTCTTAGAGATATTTCATGATGTTAAAGCACAAAGGATGAAATATTGGAAGCTGATCTAAACCTAGAAACCGTATGGCAATTAACCAAGACATAAAAGAGATGCTCACTCATAGTGTGTTATACCTCTAGAAGAAGCAGGCAAGCACTGTTCCAACCATTCTTGAAGTTTCTTACAATCACAAAAACCTCCTTAATTCTCAATGTTTCTAATGTTTCAAGTTATGCAATACCAATAAATGATTATTTTATAATTTTTCCTTTCCTTATATAGTTATAACTTACAGTAAGAGAATTTTTAATATTTTGGCAAAAATTTTTAAGGGTCACAGAGCAATAGTAATTTTTCCCACTGATTATCAAGATAGCATTGTATGGTTTCAGCTTGCATGGTCATTTGTATGGTCTCACACTGCCATGCAAAAGGATGACTGAATATGTATGTATCTCACAATAGTTATTATTATGCCCATTTTGCAGTTGTGGAAATTGAGGCTTCAGAGAGTCAAAGCTACTTGTCCAAAGTCATGAAGATAGTAAATAGTAGAGCTTGTATTTGAACCTCTCTGCAATCTGACTCCAAGACTTGTTCCCCTAACTGCTGTGCCATGCTACTGTCTACACCGAGCTGTGAGCCAAAGACAGAGACCATATATTTTCATCTTTATATGCCTAACCTGTAAACATTTTATTTAATAAATGCACATCGAATGCATAAAAAACTGGAATAAATGAAGTAAGGAACTGTAAAAGGAACTGACATTTACTGGTGAAAATGATGATAAAAAATTAAGGCTGAAAACGAAGTAGTATCAACCTTATAAATATCCATTGTTAAAGATAAATTTGTTCATGACACTTATTAAAGATGGTGCGGCAGACTTTCTTCAAGGCGGGACCGTTCGATAGGTATCGAGACCGCCGCAATGGAGGCTTGCAGCGGGGAGAGCATCGGGCTCTACTCCAAATACAAGGACGGGTGGCTTTGGTAGCCGAGAAGCAGGGCGAGAGGCAGTGGTGGGAAATTGCTATGAGGAAACACAGGGGTAGAGAGAGTCTGGCTACATCAGCTCGACAGAACTCTTGCTGGAGGCAGATAAGATATTGAGGGCGGTCTCACACCAAGGATGGAGGGTTTTCACTGAACCGACTTGGCAGGATTCTTGCTCAAACTGGCCTCTACGAGGACAGAGAAGGCTGCCCAAGGCTGGGTCTAGTGGAGCACAGGGCTCAGAGGAGCCTGATCCATGCGGTCAAGGAGAAAGACTTTGTGACCATCAGTTACAGATAGGATGGACAGCTCCTCTATTTTCTCCTAAAGTATGAAATCCAGCCAATTCTCAGATGTTTGACAACATATAATAACGTGGTACGGAGATTTACGGGTGCTTGCCAAGAAACTTCTCGTGACGGTCATTACATCAGAACACACTTGGATAAGACTCTGGGGAATAAAACCCGAAGGTGTCACATCCTGCCCTGTTCACACTGCAGTCCCAGGCATGGGAACTGTTCCAGGAGCTCTCTCCGAGAAAGGCAAACTTCAAAGCACCCCACAGTTGTCACCTGGAGAAGCAAGAGCAGAAATAGACATTCCTTGCATTGTACTGGAAAACCACCTGAGATCTGTGGTTTGTGAGGATGTCAGGAAAGTTTCTACTCAAGCCCTGAGCAGAGGGTCCAAATAAGCAAACCACAGCAAAGCTCCGTTTGGAAAGCACAAACCGCAGAAAAATCAAGAAGAGTTGCAGAAGTGTAAAAATAGATACGGGTCAGGCAGGAATATGGAGATGAGAGCTTGTGGGCTGCGGAAGCTGGTACATTGTGTTCTGCTCTGTTCTTTCAGCCACCACTTCTACCCAGGCACTAAAAACAAAAGAACGCGTGCGAGAGAGAGGGCAGGTAGGGAGATCAGCTTAAGAGCTGAGACTGCTGCCGACACAGACTGCCAGCTCCATGGTGCTCGTGGGCAGGAAAACCAGCTGTGCAGGGAGAGAGGACTCTAGGCGCCATCCTCCTGCTGGCTTCCAGGGGAGGCAGCCCCCTCCAGGGCAAAGGGAAGGCCCTGGGGACGAGCCCACCCTCCCAGCTCAGCCCACCTAAATAACCGAAACCAACTTTCTAAGTAGGAGTCTGAGGGGACCTTCTTGGTGAAAGAGCTCACCCTACAGAAGTTCTCTGGTAGAATGTTCTCTCTCTCTCTCCTTCTCTTTCTCTCTCTCCCCTCTCTCTCTCTCCTTCTCTTTCTCTCTCTCCCCTCTCTCTCTCTCCTTCTCTTTCTCTCTCTCTCTCTCTCTCTCTCTCTCTCTCTCTCTCACACACACACACACACACACGAGCCAGTCATACAACAGCTCTTCAATCCGCAGGAAGCTCCTTATAACTTTCTACCCAGACAGCAGAGAACCAAGGAGCATGAGAGCGTTTGGACTCTTTAGGGTCCAGAGCGCTGTGATGAAAAGAAAAGATGGAATTTTACCAAATGATATCGTGGAGCTTCTGAGCTAGACGAGGACAGATTGTAAGAACTGTACAAATTATTTTTGGTGGCTTCCTGCTTCTTTGAATGCAGCGCCTCGTGAACGCCGCATCTCAGGAAGCCCTCACTTACCTTTGGGGTCCATGCGCTTCTCCTAAGAGGGTCCCAACAGTCCAAACCTGAGCAGAGATCCCGGTACCCCGCAGCACCACTCCCATTCTTCCCATATCCGATACCCCAGCCCTCCCGGTCCTTCCCTGGTGGCTCATTCGGAGACTCTTCTTGGTTGCTGACCTCAGTAATGCTTTCCACACTCCCTTCCCATCTTGCGCTTCCGCCGTTGCTGTGTCCACCGGCTGCAGGCGAGACGCCCTCCTGCACTTTGAGAGCATCTGCACGGGGACTGTCCCCAAAGGAGACCCTTTCCCGTGGATATTACCATGATTCCCTGGCGCTGTGAAAAGGATGAGTAAGCATCGTTAGGATGGTAAAAATTTTTGATGTGGAGTGCATCATTTTGAATAAAGAAAATAGGCAAGAACTTTTACTCATAAGGGGGGGCTCTCTTAATGTTATTAAATGTTTATATTCTGATAAAGATGGTATAGTTGAACCAATAAGAAGTAGGCCCTGACTTTTAAAGAGTTAGTTAGAACATAACAGGAATTATCCTCAGCCACAGAGTGGGAACATCAGGATTCTCAAGTTACGGCAGCAACCCGGTCCCCTTATCAGCCCCAGCCCTGGGGGACCTCTCTCTTTTACGCAGAAGACCCTTTGTTGGGTAGTAAATGACAAGCCACTTTCGAATGGGGACATTTATTCAGATTGGAATCTCTGCGCCTATCACAGTGTGCAAACACGTAGAAGAGCATCTAATAAATGTTGATTGAAGGAATGAATACAAGCAATAAGTTCTTTAACAACTGGAGAAATGGCTCCACGATTTTATTTTATTTTATTTTTAAATTGTATTAGTCCACGGGTGAAAGCTTTGGTCAAGATCAAAACACTAACCGTACAGCTGTGGGTAAGACCCATTTTGTCTGGTGCTCTGGGCTCCGCATTCAAAGCGTGGTTTGTGGAATGCCTGGTTCTCTGTGATGAAATAAAAGGTTTGTCTTTATGATATTTTTAGCGTGCAAATTTTTCAAAATTGTACTTTATGGCTTCTCTTTGTTTTTGTTTTAAAATAAAATGGTGGTGGGGGGAGAAGAAACAACAACAGCAAAACAAACACAGAAAAAGCCACTTTGATTCGGCACAGTGAGGGAGCGCAGCGAAGCGTGTTTCATTCTGGTGCCAAATGACGCTCTCTCAAATTGCAGCAATTTTTGATGCACTTGCCAATGTTTGTGTTATTTTTACTTTAAAGATGTAACAGATTGCTCCAAAATAAATAATTTAAGCATAATGTTTCAAAAGAGTCCAAGCGCTCTCGTCTCTCGTTTCTGGTTTGTCTTCTGGGACTAGGTTGCGCCTAACAGAACGAGCCCCCCTTGCTGCAAAACACTCCATTTGCAGAGGTGTGTTCTGCCTTTGTTTCTCAAAGTTGGATCTCTTTGTCGCCGTTGTGTTCCGAATGTCATAGGTTGTAGCATTTGTCCGGCGCGGAAGCGACAGCTCCTATCCAAGGAAGGAGGGAGTAAACTCCGTAACAGCTAGATTTCTGGTCTCACGGGAGTGGGTTGGAAGGTGCAGGGAGGGCTTTGGGCTGAGCACCTGACCCAAGTCTTGGAGGAATCCAAGGATTTCCATTCTGATTCATACTTGGACTTCAAGCCCTGCACACAGCGTCTCTGCTGTAACCTAAAACAACTCAGACTTGAGAGGTTAACTTCAAAATGACCCCACCCTCAACCAATTAGTGGCCATCTCAATGGACTGTTTGCCTTAATGGCACAGTTTAAGAAAGATGAAACATCTATCATGTTAATAAAAAAAAAAAATCGAAAGCAAATCTTTATGCTGTTCTGTACCTCCTAAATGAGCATGAATCACTTTTATAATCAGGAAACAAAGATACAAATGAAAAGGACCAGCACAATAAACCGACAGCTTTGGGTTCTCGTTGACACAGGCCGCCACTGCGAGGTCCACCAGATGGTCGGGAACTACATGTGGGACCCCAGCACCAACACGTCCTTTGACATCGGTGTCAACACAGAGAGCCTGATGCCCCTCTGGTGGAACGGATCGGAGCCTCTGTGGGTCACTCTGACCAAGGCCAAGAGGAAGGTCTACATGTACTACTGGCCAGGTGAGTGCCGGCCTCAGGCCGCCCCCCCCCCCAACCTGCCACGTCTCAAAACATCATGGAGTCTCTGGGGACAAACTGGTATAGAGTTACTGTCTGAACACCAAGCCAGGGTTTGGAAAATGGGATCTTTATTTAAGAACTATGTCTTATGGACACGTTTTACAAATTTTTGCTTTGAACTCTCCTAACATCAGAGCAGACACACTGGTATTTCTTGATTCCCCTGGGTCAGCAGGCTACCGTGCTTTTCTTTCTTTCTTTCTTTTTTTTTTTTTTTTGAGACAGAGTCTCGCTTGTTGCCCAGGCTAGAGTGAGTGTCGTGGCATCAGCCTAGCTCACAGCAACCTCAAACTCCTGGGCTCAAGCGATCCTGCTGCCTCAGCCTCCCAAGTAGCTGGGACTACAGGCATGCATCACTATGCCCGGCTAATTTTTTCTATATGTATTAGTTGGCCAATTAATTTCTTTCTATTTATAGTAGAGACGGGGTCTCGCTCTTGCTCAGGCTGGTTTCGAACTCCTGACCTCAAGCAATCCACCCGCCTCGGCCTCCCAGGGTGCTAGGATTACAGGCGTGAGCCACTGTGCCCGGCCTACCATGCTTTTCTTTCATGTGCAAAATTTTGTATATACAGGACAGTCAGTTTTAGGGTGCTTATTTGCCTTAACAAAGAATTTGGTGCACAATTGATTGTTGAGCTCCTCTGAAAAATATCGATATTAAAAAGAGAATTCAAAGCACTCGCAGCTTTTGGTGGTGCATTAAACTAAGTCCCTTTGGATTAAGACCCCTCCTGCGCACCTCAGATCAACCAGGTAAGCAGTCATGCAAACCGCTGCGTCCTGCGGACGCTCTCAGTTTTGGCAGTTTCGTATCTTTCATTAAGGATGAGAGGATTCAGCAATAGCAAAGTAATGAGCTTACCAACATCTTGCCATGGGTGGGATTCGTTCTTTAGGTAAGAGGTCAGTTTGACTTTCCCATGCACCTGGCTGTAGACACTTTTCCCCTAATTCTCAATAGGGTGATGCTGGAGGTTGCCATTTGGAAGAGGATATCGGGGGAGGCCTAGAAAAGACCAAGAGCAGCCTGGTAGGAGGCAGGAGAAGCAGCGGAGGGGGCAGAGAGGAGGCAGGTGGGCAGGCCCATGCACCCAGATGGCCCGCGCAGAGGGCGTGGAGCAGCAGGCATCTGGAGGACACTGGCTGGGGGTGGCCCCCCGGAGAGCCGTGGGGGCGCCAGGGCCGTGCCAGCTTCAGCGGGAGCGCAGAGCACAGACAGATGGAGACCTGGAAGGCAGCCCGCAGCCCAGCTGGGTGGGTGCTGGGGAAGCCGCCCCGGCCGGCGATGGCATCCCTGGGTGAGGTCTCGAGGGCCCGAGCAGCCTGCAGGAATTCAAAACTGGGCGGGAGAGCAGACGGACACAGGCCGGCTCTGCCAGCTGATAGAGTTGCAGGGGAATTGCTCACGGTTCCCTTAGAAGACACCCGGGATTCTGTCCCTGACCACCAGCTCAGCTGACAGGAGAGCCTTTTGAGCAAGGGAAGGGTTCAGAAGGACTCCATGCCTGACAAGGAGACTCGGCTTTGCATGGAGGGGACGTTAGGTTGAGGAAGCAAGCTGGCTCAGGCCCAGACCACTCGGGCTTGTGAGAGGAGCGTGGCTCCAGGTTGGGGCCAGTGTGACACCGTGTGAGGCCAAAATACTCTGCTGCCCTTTGTGCACTCTCGGAAGCAGGACTGTCCCCAAATGCATGCACAGACAGGGATCGGGCACCGCCTTAAAACAAATCCAAGGACCGTCACGATGAATCAGGGCCATCTTCCACCACATCTGGCTAGTTTAACCTTCTCTCTTACAACTTCAGTTCTTCGTGCTCTGAAAAGCAAGCACCCCACACTCACACAGCTCCCCACGCCCCACAGGCCTCCTCCACACACGAGCTTCTGTCGGGAGCCCTTTTGGATAGTGGGAATGCTGGTGGCAAAGGGCAGGGACATCCCAAAGAGGGACGGTCACTGTATTTCACACCTCTCTGTGCAGCCGGTCGGAGCATTATTCCGTATCTCATCTTGGAGATTCTGAAGTTATATATCACCGAGTATCTAAAAAAATCTGAAAGCGAATTTGCATGAAAAGTATCTTGTTGCTCCTCCAAAATAGCTCCTTAAGGGCACGAAGGGACCAATCACTTCCTTCGATTCACAGCTCAACATCAGCTAATGTGATGTGACAAAAATGCCTTAAGATCAGTTAGCGTGTTAACTGTCAGGAGGAGAGAAGCCAAAAGGATAGTCTCCTAGAGTTTCCGCAGTGACCTACATGGAGATTCGCTTAAGACCTGGCTGTGTTGAAGTCTTTGTAGAAACGGAATAAAAAGTCTCTGTGTCTTAGACTCCGCCGTCCAGTCCTTCTAGACCGAGTACACAAACGGAGCTCGCTGCCCCGCCCGACCTGCAGGACTGCCGCCTCCCCCCGCCCTTCCTGGTGGGCGCTATGGGATTCCTGGTCGCTGCTGCTCTTTCTCTGTCCACTTTGGTCCCTTCCAGCCTCAGCCACCAGCCCAGGGCGTGCTCATTGTCTCTGCAAGATTAAGTGAAGTGCAGGGGTATTTCTTCTAATCATGACTCGATTTTATTTTCCTCCTTATATCCTCCTCTTTCTTCTCCACTGGCCATAGGACATTGCACAGAGCTCTCCATGAGGCCTGGAGCAAGGAAGATTTTTCTGGGCTGGGGTATGACACTTTCTGGCCATTTAGTCAATATTTAGAAGTGCAATTTGGAAGTGGCCATAGTGCATGCCTCCGTGTCAGGTAGAGAAAGCAGCAGGCTGAGAATTGATCCGTGGTGAAGACTCCAAAATGCCCCACCTTAATATTTAGCGTTGTCAGCAGACAACGCTAAATGCTCCACCCAATGGTGCCATTGAGCTGTGCAGAGAGAAATGAGCTTCAGGAAATGATCCTGGGCCTTAAATCAAAGATTTCTTTGGACAGGCCCCAGAAATCAGCCAGAACTGCATAGCAAGGACCCAGCAGCGTTCTGCAAAGGACGAGAGCTGAGTGTGTGTTGTTCGCCAAGTTTATTCCTCCACCCCGCCCTTCCAGTTTGATGACAAAGGAATTTTATTGAGGGAGAAAAGGAAGGGGCTCCGATAGTTACTTCGTCTATTACTTCTAATACAAAGTATTAGACAGTAACCCAAAATCAAAAGGAATGACTTGAGGAAGGAGGAAAGATAGATAATATGGGAGGATAATTAGATATTGTATGGAAATAGAGTTTGATTTTCTCCCATCCAAGTACTAACCAGGCCCGACCCTGCTTAGCTTCCGAGATCAGACGAGGTCGGGCGCGTTCAGGGTGGTGTGGCCGTAGACGAGTTTGATTTTCTTAGATAATCCGTGCTACCTTATGTGGTGGCTGCAGTTTTTAAGTTTATTTTCATAGCCATCATAAAATACAAAAAAAAAAAAGGAATAATAAAGTTTCAAGAGTCTGTGGTGAAAACTCTCTGAGTTCGGGGTTCCACACCTTCCATCTTGCGTTTTGCAATGTCAACTTGCTGCAGCCAGCAGCCAGGAGGACCTGGGCGCGACCCTCGCGTGCCCCTGGGCCGGTGTGCAGTGTGGGTCTGGGGTCCTCTCCTGGCTTCTCCCTGTCCTGGGCGGGTGTTCAGAACAACAAGGCACCTTCTGTGCAGAGAAAGGCTCATTTCCACCTGGCTCCCGCTTTCCAGAAGTGGGCTGGCTGGGGAGTTCAGGGGTAGGGACCCGACTCAGCGCCTGTCAAATCTTGGTTGTTATAATCACGGCAATTTCATCTGGGTAAGTAAGAGGCACGTGTTGGCTACTGGTGAAGAATTGTGGGTCGTCTGCCGCCTCTCCCTCTTTCCTGCCCTGCTGGGTCCCTGACGACGTTCCATGAGGTCTCAGCTGACCCTAGATGCGCCCAGGCACAGGGGAAGTTTGGAGCCCAGCATTGCTCATGCGAAGGTGTGCGTTAACATGACAGCTTGGAGACCATTGCCTCTCTGCATGTGACACCAAACGTCGGGGTAAAACCTGGATTTTTTTTCAGGCAAATATTTGACACTGAAAATGTGAGGAATCTGGATTGTCACTAAATTTTCCAATAATGTCACACGTTTGACACTAGACTTTGAGATTTATGTAATTTTAGAATAGGAAGAGGCCTTAGGACATAGTTTGCTGGTTCTTACACTAGTAAAAAATTTATCAAAACTATGGATCCCCTTTCTAGAAAAATACACCCACATATGCTCTACTCACAACTTCGTGCTCATGTTATATAGGAGACTACAATGATGAGGATTGCCGAGTGGTCTTTGACATGCTAACACGTACATACCTATGACGGCTAATTGATTTGACTTTTTAATGCAATGGAAACGTGTTAAAAACTCATCAAAGTATCAGATTAAACCTAAGCTCCTGTAATTAAAGTTGTCTGGCAAGGGTAGGCTTGGGTCAAAATTCTGTAAGACTCCTTGGGTTGAATTCATATTGCATCATTTCCTCTGTCAGTAACTTTGGCAAGGTCTGCATTGCTCTTTTCTGTGCCAGCAAGAGAAAGATCACAAATTCACATTGCAAGTGTCAGATTGTCTCCAGAAAAGCGATCTTCAAAAGAATTTGTGCAGGGTTTCTGGGCGTCGACCACGTCTCCTGCAGAGATATTGAAGAGGTGCTGCCTCTCCGGACTGCCGTCTACAGAAGCAATGCTTCCTGTGTTCGAGCTTTCCAGAGCCGTCTGCTCACCTGATCTCCTTTTGCAGGGTGGCATCTCGGCCAGAAGAGCGCATAGTTTTGCAGCAGCATCCATTATGTTAATTAGAACGTCTTAAAGAGAAATCCAGGGACGAACATCCATTCTTCACAAATCATGGCAAATCCATTTCTTCACAAAAATCTTTAAAAGGTGAGACTCGAGGCCCTGGAATGGTTCTCAGAAGACAGCCATGAGCAAAAGCAGAC